ACTACCAGAAGCTAATGTATTTCCATCAGGAGAGAAACAGACTGATTAGACCCATTAATTATGACCATCTAATTTGGCTTTTTATTATCCTGTTTTGACATCCCATAGACGGATAGACTTATCATTACTACCAGAAGCTAATGTATTTCCATCTGGAGAGAAATAGACTGACATTACAGCATATGAATGACCATCTAATTTGGCTTTTTATTATCCTGTTTTGACATCCCATAGACGGATAGAGTAATCCAAACTACCAGAAGCTAATGTATTTCCATCAGGAGAGAAACAGACTGAGTAGACATAATAAGCATGTCCATCTAATTTGGCTTTTTATAATCCTGTCTTTACATCCCATAGACGGATAGACTTATCATAACTACCAGAAGCTAATGTATTTCCATCAGGAGAGAAACAGACTGATTAGACCCATTAATTATGACCATCTAATTTGGCTTTTTATTATCCTGTTTTGACATCCCATAGACGGATAGACTTATCATCACTACCAGAAGCTAATGTATTTCCATTAGGAGAGAAACAGACTGATCTAACTTCATCACTATGACCATCTAATTTGGCTTTTTATTATCCTGTTTTAACATCCCATAGACGGATAGACTTAAAATAACTACCAGAAGCTAATGTATTTCCATCAGGAGAGAAACAGACTGATCTAACTTCATCACTATGACCATCTAATTAGGCTTTTTATTATCCTGTTTTGACATACCAAAGACGGATTAAGTTATCTCCTGCTATAAAAAGTTATCCGCTTCCACCACCAGAAGCTAATCTATTTCCATCAGGAGAGAAACAGACTGAGTAGACAGTACTAGCATGACCATCTAATTTGGCTTTTTATTATCCTGTTTTAACATCCCATAGACGGATAGACTTATCACTACTACCAGAAGCTAATGTATTTCCATAAGGAGAGTAACAGACTGACCAGACATAATGAGTATGACCATCTAATTTGGCTTTTTATTATAGTGTGTTGACATCCCAAAGACGGATAGAGTTATCTTAACTACCAGAAGCTAATTTATTTCCATCAGGAGAAAAACAGACTGACATGACAGCAGATGAATGAGTGTCTAATTTGGCTATTTTTTTTTTACTCTTAACATCCCATAGACGGATAGACTTATCTTCACAACCAGAAGCTAATGTATTTCCATCAGGAGAGAAACAGACTGAATTGATACCATTACGATGACCATCTAATTTGGCTTTTTATTATCCTGTTTTGACATCCCATAGACGGATTGAGTTATCTTTACTACCAGAAGCTAATGTATTTCCATCAGGAGAAAAACAAACCGATGCTATATCCACTCTATGACCATTTATTTTATACAGTTCATGGATTCTTAAGTCTTTCCATTTACAATTAAATAATTATGCTCCATTCAGATTAATTCCACTTATATTAACACTATTAAATTAGGATTAACTTAAATTAGACCTAACAAAATTTGCTCCTACTAAAGAAGTATTTTAGATCTTAATATTTTCCAAACTTTTGTTTCTAAGGTCCGCCTTCATGTAAATTAATAAATTTAATGAATTAGACCCACATTATATTAAAGTGCCATCTATAGATGTGAGATGAACTAAAAATTACAGAAATTCAAGGATCCATCTATTATCCTTGATTCTATTAATTAAACTTTATTTGGATTCTTCATTTTCTTTAGAGGAATAGTCTATCTTATTGAAGTCATGTTCTTTTAATTTTATTATGACTTCTATGATTAATTTGATATCTTTTCTAACAAAAGACAATTTCTATTCTATATCAGCCTGGGTGATTACAACTCCTTTTTGTAAGATACATGATTCTAATTGCCTTTGATTGACATTTTCTGAAAGATATCCAATGATGTCTTAAACTTTTTCCTTTCTTAATTTTTCTAATATGACACCAATAATTTGCTCATCTACATCTTTTATTTGATCAAAGATGTCAGCTAGAGCTTCCTTCTCTTAAAAATGGGCTTGCATATTCTTTTTTATTTTTAATATTAAATTTCTATTACTCTAACTTTAAGTTATATACTGCAAAATCACTAAAAGTATCTTGTGCATTTCTGTAAAATAGAAGTTAGGACTTTGTGTAGATTTCGAATTGATTGTAGTAGATGTTAATTATGCTATTGATAATTCATTTCAACATCGGCATTACTTGATTTTT